GGATTTGGATCTCAACCCTATCTTATAATTGGGTTTAGAATCATTTGGTCATGAGACCTAGATGTTATTTTAAGGATTCGTTTAGTTTGCCAATATCTTAGTAAAGTAATGACAAGGAAACCAGGAAGAAAAAAAAAAAAAAGAAGTTGGTTTTGTCTTAAATTTTGAATATGGGAGTAATTTGTTAACAAGAAAATTATAATTAGTTATATAGAGGGACATTATTAGTTATATGATTTGAAAGTTGCCTTTTGATAAAAAAAAAAAAAAAACCTTTAAATTTTTTTTCATAATATATAATAGTTAAAGCCAACCTATAATTGATTGTATTAATTATAACCATTTATATTTTGTATATAATCAGTTATAACTAAGAAAGATTTTTATGCCAAAAACATACATTTTTGGACCGAGGTAGCCATAAATTCTTATATAGCTTCTTTGCAAATACTTTTTAGAGATATTGACAAACCAAGCATGCCATAAGCAAAATTCTTGGTTTTTGGACCTAATATCTGCTAATTGACTTGAACACACCTAACGTCATATGCTAACTTATTTATTTTTTTTATGCAGGACTAAAAAAGTAAGGAAAAATTATTATGCAATCTACTTTACATGGAGTTACACAATAACAACTATTAAATAAGAATAAATTCTTAAATATAGAGAAATAATCCATGTTATTGTTTCAATTTTACAACTTAACATAGTATATGTTACAAAATAAAAAAACTCAAAAATTAAATTAAAAGGATGTATGTGGCAAAGAAAAAAATGACACAACATTTTAATTTTGATTCAATAATGAATAATTAAATACACAACATTATAGTTATAGTGATGTTACATGCATAACACCATGTTATGTTATACATAATACAACACAATATATTATTAAATGAATGAATATATAATATTATATTATGTTACAAGCATCACATCATATTATATTATATATTACATAACATAATATAACGTAATATTACATGAATAAATACATAAAATATCACATGTGAACTCCTAGAAAGAATAAATCAATTATATATTATATAAACTGACACATCATGTTAAGCACAATATATTATAATAAGCATTAAGCACATAACTTTTACCTTCTTAATATGAATTATTTATCAGTTAATGTCACATAATATTTATTTAAATTGTTAATCAAAACATGCAATGAGGTCCATAGGAAAAGCCCATGTATGCCTTTTGAAGTCAGATGGAGTCCAAGTCAGACATGAGGTCTGAAAAAACGCACACCCAATTCAGAATGGATGGAAATCTGATGCCAGCAAATGGAAAAAAGGGGTAATAAGCAAAATTCGTGAAGTTCAAGGATTCATTTTCAATACTTTTTAATTTAGGGGCTAAAAACATCAACTCACTATTGTTATTAGGGGCTGATAAAAAAAATTTTGCCTTTTATTTTTTTACTATCCTCTTTGTATGTGTTGTACCACGAGGGAACTTTCCGATTAGGGGTTGGGCAAAACCGGTTTCGGTTTCAACCCAAACCGGTTTTGAATTAACCAAAAATTTTTTTTTTCAATTTTGAGAATCGAACCAAATTTTTTATAAATTGATCGATTCGATTACAAATAAAATCGGTTTTATTTGGTTTGATTTCGATTTTTATCAAATAAACATTAATCAATTTTTTTTTCAATAATAAATTATATTTCATATCATATTTTATCATATTTATTCAAATTTCGATTTTCAAAAAGTTCATTTTAGTTTTTAGTTAATAAAAAATTCAATTAAAATTAAATCAAAATTTATTCAGTTAGTATCAAACCAAAACAATAAAACTAAAAAATCATTGAAATCGAACTAAATTTATATTTTTAATTCAATTTTTTTGCTTCGATTTCTAAGTTACCATTCGGTTATCTGTCTGAATGGTCACCTCTATTTCTGACGTATATTCCTTTCTCTATAAAACTTAAAATTGAAATCTTATTTAAAATAAATTAAATTTCTTTTACTCAAACTAATAAATTTTAAACATTTTTGCCTTTTACTTTTTCCCGATGAATACGGCATCTTTTCTCAGTAAAATCGTTTTTGACGAGTTGGGATCTTGCGATCTTGGATTACATATAAATAAATATATAAAAACTGGTTGGGGATCTTGGATGGGCTTTTAGTAGCAGGCCTTCCAGGCAGTTGTTGGGCTTATTGCGTAAATTGGAACGGATGAACCCCAAAACTACGAAGTCAGGGGACGGGCTTGATGGCAGTGATGATTGATGGGAATGGAATGGTTATAGCCTTGTGGGCCTCTGGTGAAAGTCGACAGAGCCCGTCACAAGCAATCAAAATTTGGTTTTAACTTTTAATGAGAAAACTTGACTCTTTTTTAACAAACAGTGCAATTATCTTTATGGTTTGATATATTGATAAATAAATATTGCTTTGCAAATTAAATTTATAATTTAATTTTTAAAGTCAATAGGTGCATTAACTTTTCTTAAATGTATTAAATTAATAGTAAAAGTATATTTTTAAAGTTATCTCAAGAGAAATTAATTTTCAGATATA